TACTCGAGAAGAGAGTTTTATGGTACGTTTCCACTGAGCACGTCACGCGTCGCGTCATCAAAGTAGAGAAAGAGAGGGGTTGTGTATTTATTAAATAATCTTATCTCAGTGGAAACGTACCCTTAAGGTACAATTTCATGCAGCGAAGTTTCGCTGACGAAAACCCCCCACTCCGTCGATTCGTGCAAAAATCCGTAGCGAGCGAAGCTTCTCTCATATAGCGTTTTCGGCCCGGCCAGGTTTGCACCAACGTAGGTTGGATTAATGGCGTTTTGTGCTCTCCTATTGGTAGAGCGGGTGACGTCAACCAATAGGAAAGATTAATCCAACCCAGGTTGGTGCAAACCCGATCGGGCCGAAAACGCTAATAGTTCAACACTGTCGAACTATGAGCGAAGGAACGCTGCGAAACAGATAATAACCTACAAATAAGATAACAGACAGCAATTTAATGAACGTAGACGAAGTATAATATAATATACTAATTATCAAATTTTCACTCTCGAGATTGTCAAATTAAATAACATAATAAAAACGGGCTAGTGAGAGTCAATATTGCGGTAAGTCTTGCAACATAAAATAATCTTTTTCACATAATTACTTATATTTATTATTCATCAAACGTTTCGGCCATCATACGGGCCATCTTCAGTGAAACAACATAGCAATTCGACTTCTAATCCGAACTAAAGAGTGGCAAATCCATCCTTGTGTTCATTGGTTAGACTACAAGATTGATTCGAGTGAGTCTTGTGGCAATTGAATCAAAGGAAATCAGCACGAACGTGAAGCCTTAAAAATATATAATATCACACGCATTACATCGAGATGTTAAATTCGTCAAAAGTTATAATTTACATCTATGTGAGTCAACGGATCACAGTCAAAGCAAAATATTTGACTGTGATCCGTTGACTCATATAATATAATATCGAACTTATACCCCAAAGCTCTGATTGGACGGCTCGTTATGTATTCCCTATTGCCTGTGCTATTGTGTTTCCAGCTTAATGCTTGCATGTGAATGCACCTGTAGTCTGCTGAATGCAACCATTTTGTATGATGTCAAGTGTTGTCTATAGTTCGTTGTGTCCTAGAATAGTGAAGGGAAAGCGGGATGCCTTCATCTTCATACTGAAGATCAAGAAATGGAGTAAAGCGTAGTCAGCAGTAGTTAACATAAAGCCGAAACACTAATTGTAAGCATAACGAGGTTATTCAACTACACTTGTTACAAATAAGCTTTGTAAATAATGTTTATTGAATTACCCTCTGTATTCTTCAGTATGACAGAACGAAAGCGCGAAACTTTGTTTTATTATTTCTCGTGAAAATTCGATGATAAAGTGATTGCGAATCTTCAGGAACGACTACGTATTCGGCATTTTCTCCGTGTAAATAATTCGTTTATCTTTTCTCTTTTCTAGTATACAAAATGCATTCACGCTGCAATCAATACGTAACATTAGGTAATTGTTCGCGTTGCTTAAAATTCTCAAAAATTTTTCTACTTAAAACGAGATGAATATATATATATTTGGTTGTTGAAAAGAAACAAAGATGCTGAATTTTTTAAGTACAAACAACACGAATACCAGATTCATTGTAGCAAATGGAAATGAATTTTCTATTTATATTAGGTTATGTTATCTGTGCCTTGGGTATCAATTGTGATTGTCGAGTTATTATGTTTTAATTCCACAAACTAGTTTCTGCGTACATGTGTGAATTCCTAATATATTTTATATTTTGTATGTACGCACATGCGCACATGTGTGTGTGTGTGTGTATTTTGTATTTATTATATATTCATGCAATTTAGTAATCATATAATTGTACCTACTTCTAAGAAAGATATAAGGATTGCTTATATTTCTTTTTAAAGAGTACTAGAAAAGATGGCACAAAGATTTCCTGTGCCAAATGCAGGAAGTAATGGACCACCACCTCAGCGATACCCACAATCCTCGGTACCACCAAATTTGCGCCAGTACTCTGGGCCAAATTTTCCAGTAAATATATTTTTTAATTTCGATGCATAATATCAGTATAGTATTGATTGTAATATTCAGATATGAAATTGATTTTTTATGATATTTAATCCTTGGATAACAATGGCTAAGTCACTTGGGATCTGATGGATATTTAGCTTTTAAAGATTATTTGTACATCTTTCTTTATATCGCAAGGAAAATCTAAATCAAAGTTGTTACTTTTTTCACTGTCATTTTATATATTATATATATATATATATATATATGGCGCTACTTTTTGATTAAACAATAGAATACAGAGAATGACTCAGCCATAGTTTTCCAAATAATATATCTTTTGATTAATTATATTATGCAACAATTACAATCTGGAAGTTATATAATTTTTTTATTGATATTATATAATTGTGCCTAGATGACATGTATGAGTTTCTATCGTAGATGCAACAGAGATCTGGATTTACTCCACCACCACAAATGGGTAACGCTGGGCCTGGCCCAGGTGGAATAATGAGACCAAACCAACCTTACTCAAATATGCGTCAAGGCCCAATGCCCACGCCACCTGTTGGAAAAAGAAGCGCGGATCAACGTATTCCTATGTCCCAGCAAAAACCGTAAGTATAATCTGGAGAAATTTAAACTTAAGACAAACGCTTTATATTTATCTTGTACGTAAATTGTGTATTTTTTTTTAATTAGATATTATATTTTAATAATTGGCTACTTTCTGTTTTTTATTCATCCTTACTCTTGCATGTTTATCCTTTTATTTTTTTTCGTATATATATAACTTCTGTATGTATTATTATCTCTACTTATAACTTGATATTTCTAGTCTAAATATTTTTTGTTTATACTTGAAACCAAATTTTGTTAGGAATTTAACCACTGCAACTCACGGCTTACAGAATTATTTATAATTTCTGTGTCTATGGTTTTCGAATAAACTCATTTAGGTATTTTTGGAACAGTGATTTTTCACATTCCACATCAAAGAAAAAGAAGAAATTGGCAGACAAAATATTGCCTCAAAAAGTGCGTGATTTGGTACCAGAGTCGCAAGCTTATATGGACTTACTGGCATTCGAAAGAAAGTTGGATGCAACTATAATGCGAAAACGTCTCGATATTCAGGAAGCTTTGAAGCGTCCAATGAAGCAAAAGCGAAAATTACGTATTTTTATCTCAAACACATTTTATCCGGCTAAAGAGGCAGGTGAAGGAGAGGAAGGATCTGTAGCATCTTGGGAACTTAGAGTAGAAGGACGTCTTTTAGATGATACTAAAAATGATCCTAATAAGGTATAATAGTAGAACGGAATAAGAAATATAGTTTCGTTACTAATAAACAAGTAAATATGTGTGTATAGTCTAATTGTATTGTAAGTATTTCATATATAAATACGTATATTCACAATAACTATATTAATTTCGCAGGTAAAACGAAAGTTCTCGTCTTTTTTCAAAAGTTTGGTAATAGAATTGGACAAAGATCTCTATGGTCCTGATAATCATTTGGTCGAATGGCATCGTACGTTGACTACTCAGGAAACCGATGGATTTCAAGTTAAAAGACCAGGTGATAAGAACGTTCGCTGTACAATCCTTCTTCTTCTTGATTATCAACCACTACAGGTGATCCTTTTATATAAATTAATCGATAATTGTTACACAAGTTAAGTATTTTATCACAATTGATTTAGTCTATTTGTATTAATCTTAAATTTAATTTCTGTTAATTACATTCCAGTTTAAATTGGACCCAAGATTAGCGCGATTATTGGGCGTACATACGCAAACGCGACCCGTCATCATATCCGCGCTTTGGCAATATATAAAAACGCACAAGCTCCAAGACAGTCACGAGAGAGAATTTATTAACTGTGATAAATACTTGGAACAGATATTTGCTTGCCCGCGAATGAAATTTGCTGAGATACCGCAACGACTGAATCCATTATTGCATCCACCTGATCCCATTGTGATAAATCATGTTATAAGCGTAGAAGGTGAGGTGCAATTTTTATCTTGAATAAATATTATTTTAGAAGCGATTTTATAAGTGAAATAAATATTGCATTGCAATTACTTACTTTATAGCTCATTATGAATATCTGATGTAAAAATTTGTATTATTCAGGAACAGAAACAAAACAAACCGCATGTTACGACATCGATGTAGAAGTAGACGATACATTGAAGACGCAAATGAATAATTTCTTACTGTCGACTGCAAGCCAGCAGGAAATCCAGAGTCTGGATAATAAGATTCATGAAACCGTAGAGACAATTAATCAATTGAAGACCAATCGTGAGTTCTTCCTGAGTTTCGCTAAAGATCCGCAACAGTTTATCAATAAGTGGATCATCTCTCAGACTAGAGATTTGAAGACCATGACCGACGTTGTCGGGAATCCGGAAGAAGAACGGAGAGCTGAATTTTACTATCAGCCTTGGGCACAGGAAGCTGTGTGTCGTTACTTTTATACAAAAGTGCAACAAAAACGAGCAGAGTTGGAGCAAGCATTGGGTATCAGGAACTCGTAAAACTATTATTAAAAATCTATATTTGACCATTTTATCATAAAGCTATGTAAGATATTCATAAATGTTCGCTTTTATAATTATTATATGTAACGCTATTGTGGTTTATCTTTCAAAACATATTTGTAACATTAATGTAGATTATGCGAAAAGATTGCATTTATTATGCAAAAAAAATTTTACGCCTATGTGAAAATAAAAATGTAACAAGACATTGCTGTTTCTACATATGTAGTTACGTAACAATCACATTTACAATCAAATTTCAAAATTCAAATATCGGACTATATAAACTGAAGAAAGGATCGATGGAAAATGCATAGTTTTTCTTTGAAATATCTTGTACAATGTATGTTCTTTTAACGCATAATCTTTTATTATAATATTAATGTATATATTATACGATCACAAAAATTGATTTTTGCATTTGTAGAGCATGTAAAATAATCAAATTAGAAATTCAGTTTTTACGATAATTTATTTCTTCTTATTGCAACGCGATATCTCTTGTATAAATAAGAATAATTACATGTCATTTACCATGCCGTTGTACACATTTGTTATACTTCTCCAACAGACACGTGAACTTTCTCACTGGGATACTAACGTACAGCGGCAACATTCTGGAAAAAATTAAATTGTTAGTTTTAAAAAATAAGATTTTTTTTACAAAATATTGACAGATATTAAAAAATTTCTTATAAACTTACAAAAATTCGGTCGTTCTTGTGTGCCATGGTAGTACACCATGCGTGGAACAAGAGTGATCGTATATTAAAGCAAGATCGGGATCAGGCCCTTTTATACGTAATTCTTCGGTGATTAGTTCAATCGTGATTTTTTCTCGATCAAGATTCTTCGAAGACATAATTTTTGCTAATGATTGCGCCAATGTTGCTATTTTTCCTCTACTATCTATATTCGATAGTAATGATACATTCATTTTTGACTTGCTTTCTGTAATTAAAGCATGCAGTCGCACAATTAGAAATACTTGTTAGAGTTGGGAACGTTACCTCAAAAAAGTAACGCGTTATCCGTTTACCGTTAATTACTTTTCGTTAAAAGTAATGCGAAAAGTATCGTTACCGTTACTTAGAAAAGTAACTAATCGTTACTTTTCGGGAAATTGTTGAGTTTCGTTCGAAATTGATAAAATTAAACTCATTCGATGTGTTTTTGCACAAAACGACCGAATCTGGTGTCGTTAGAAACAAACGTCGCTCTGTCTCGTGAACAAGATATTAATCGTTAAATTTTTGACCATTATTCAGGAACTATTACCTATTCTAATATCTATTCTATTTATTAGGAACTTATTGGTGTTGTAGGATATAATGTACCAATTATTTTACAAAATTCTATAATTGTTTATTAAAATTAAATCTTCTTTTTTAAAAATATAAATTTAGCCAAATAATCTATTAATGTGATTCTTTTGATCATATCTTGGGATATTTGAACGAAATTTATGCCCAAATTCTTGAACAACACATTATGATCATGTCGTTACTTTTCATCAGTGTGACAGGTTTTCTAATCTGAATAATCAACTTTAACGATTAATATCTCGGTTTGCGGAAGAGAGCGACGTTTGTTTCCGCCAGATTTAGTCATTTTGTACAAAAACGTCAAATGAGCCTAATTTTATTCAATATCGCACGTGAGGGAGTTAAACTCGATCAACGAACTTAAATATCAAATTTAAACAATATAATATATTATAGGACCGTATATGTGATAACACAAACTATAAAAATCAAAGCTTTAAACGGTCTAGCTGGATCTTAATGCTTGTATGATTCTTATGTGAATTTATATACTACGTATGTAGTCCCACAGAAACGCGCGTTTAATTAATTATTAATGCGTTTGAATTTTGTACGCACCATTTACCGTGTTAACTCTTAATTGTCTGTGAATTTTTTCTTATTAATTTTATTGTTTTGGTTATACTAAATCTACTGCATTTATCCATGCAATATACTCAACTTCATTCAACAAATTTAATTTGTATATTGAGAGATTTTTCTTGAACTAGCGCATCTTAAATAGCGCCTATTCCCTCGAGCTTTTTTTGTTTTTATTATTAAAAAATATAAAATATTTTTTAAGAAATAAAATGAGGAAATAAACATCTTAAAATTACATTTGTTGCATACAATAACTTAAATTATAAATACATATTTGCACGCATACTTGCACAAGCATTTAAAAAATTTAAGTATTTCGTTCATTTGTTATAACAATGATACAACTTGGGTAACTCTAGAAGTACAACTTCGATACCGTTGCTGTAAAAATATAACGACGTTACCGTTATCGTTACAGGCAAAAAAAAGTAACGATTGCTACCGAAAAAAAAGTAATGGCATTATTACACTTGGGTTGGTCCATTACTGTTCCGCATACTACAATCGCTACATAAACGCTCTAGCTAATAATGGTCAAGTCCCATGAGACATATTAACATTATTAACCCATCGCTTGTCGCAATGCTTCGCGCCAATCAGAAGCATCAATAATCACTATTGATGCTACTATTTGAGTGTTTGCAACTTATCGTAGAAAGCTCTTAAGGTTATTGAAGCATGGAAAAACAGAAAATAGTATACTCTACCAATTACTCCATTTTGACGTGCATGTGGATTCCAAGTAATACACTCTATTAGATCAGGTCGCTTTCTCGCGAATTCTTCTTTAAGAATAAATTCATTCTTCTTCAAGAAACCTAAAAAAACAATATAAATCGGGAAAACTGAAATTCGCATAACTGTTTGTTATTGTTCTTAAATTGAAAGATGTCATTTCTCACAAATTATAGTACATTGTACGATTTTTTTGTATGATGTTAATAATTTATATATACAGGGTCTTCCGAATATCTGGATACATTCATATATCTCAAAGCAAATACAATTTTAAAAAAAAGTAGAAGGTAACAGGCTCAAATAATTTATAAAATTAACAATAAATCAAGGGCTACAAGCCAAGCTGGATCTTAATGCCATTAAATTGCTAAAACATAAGTTTATTACATAAACGTTTCGATCCCTATTGGGTCATTTTCAGTGTATTTTTAAAAAGAATACAAAATAAAATCAACAGCTCATTTAGATAGCAACATGTCAAAACATAACAAAGATTAATTAAGAACGGTGAAAGTAATAAATTATATCATCGTGTGTGTATCATTTCACAAAATGGGAGCCTTGATTAATATGTATAAAATTAACAATAGCTAAAATTAATAAACAGCTGATGAAATCTTAACATTACATATACGTTACAGCGCATGATGGTCATCGCACTGCTCTTTTATAAAATAACCTTAAACGCAGTCGCAGCCTCAAGGTTAAAAAGACGCATTGGACAATAATATCCATCTGATCTTGGATGGAGTGGTTCAAAGTCAAATCAAGATCAAACTGATTTTATGAAATATGGAAACCCTTATTTTTCCTTGCATATTTTTATAGCTTATCTCGAGAGTTTTATATTTCACATATAAAATTTTATTAAATTTCATTTAAAATTTATAATCCATTCTTAAAAGAACGTGTGTTCATATTATACACAATTGCTCTAAAATATTGCATTGAATAACAAAAAGTAGTATTTAGTCTAATCTCTCTTATATTCCAGATCATCTTTAGTCTGACCATAAATAATCTGAATACAAGAGTAATCATCATAATTATCATAAGTCATGATGATGATGATGATGATAATAATAATAATAATCTTTACATCCTAGCAACAAGAAAATGAAGCTCAGTCACAACAATAATCTTCTTTACTGCGTGATCAAGAATCTATACTTTTCTAAATTTTCCCTTATGCATTTCTAGAAAGTATTGAGTAAATTGTTACTATTAAATTGTAGAACAATAAATAAAGTATAATGTAATTAAATCTCTAATAAAAAAATTCTTTATATGTTTATTTTTATAAAAGTTATAAACAATCAAATTGGAATCGGTTTGCCATATTCAATTAATAACCGTTTTATCAATGTGTCGTTTCCATAGTGGTGACCTAGTTTACATCGTGCACTTGATACAAGTACTAAATGGTAACCCCTACAGTTGTAGCAATATTGCAGAGATTTTACTGTAAATTCTATGCTGTATGGGAATTTTCTATCAAATTATCTTAATTTCAGTAATATGTGTAAACATATACATGATAAGTGTATTCAATTAATCATTTTGATGCATATTGTATGAGTATAGTAAATCATTCTGCAAATACATTACTGCAATTAAGATAATTTAATGGGAAGTTACTTGTTAATACGCGTATCAAAAGGTTGTTTGATGTAAAAGGAATCAGTTAGGACCTTAGCAGAAAGCTGATTTGTAAAATAGGCTTTCTACAATAAGTAATTATCTAAGCTTTAAGTCTTATGCCGCAAGAAATTGACCAATCACAGTTGAATATAAGAAGAATAATTGACTATGAGATTGGTCGATTTCTTATGGCTTAAGACTTAAAGCTTAGCGACTTAACGACTTATTATAGAAAGCCCATTATCTTAAGACAGTGTCTTATGACTTAAGCCTTATGTCTTTAGTATGGAATATTTTGGGAAGCCGAGATGTAAAAAATAGGTTTTACCCATCGACATCTAGAATGGACCGCTGATGGCAATGGTGGGGGTAGAAAGACGATTAGAGTGAGAGGCAGGAATAATAAGATCGATCTTTCTCTGTTTACTGTTGTTTCTAACTACTGTTGGATTAACAACAATCAATCAAGCTTCAGTAAACAGAGAAAGAACGATCTTATTATTCCTGCCTCTCACTCTAATCGTCTTTCTACCCCCACCATTGCCATCAGCGGTCCATTCTAGATGTCGATGGTTTTACCTGTATCCCCTCCATAAAACCAGTGCGCGTGTATTTAGAGGTCACACGCGCGTTTTTAACGGGAAGGTTAAATTTAATAGCAGATTCCAAATATCAGTTAAAGTTGTTGAAATGCGATAACGTTTTACCACGTCGATTTTACACGACTTTACAAGCATACTTATTAAATTCGCGATGTAACACACACACGCACGCACACATCATGCGTAACACAATATACCAGCTATTACAATTGATTATATTGAGGGTAAAAGAGGGATAAGACGAAAGAAGTTGTCGTGGCTCCGAAATATAAGACACTGGACCGGACTAACCACCGTGAAAGTGCTGATACACACGGCAAGGGACGAGAAGAGGATGAAAAATGTGGTCGCGAACATCCCTTAGTGGATATGTATATAAGAAGAAGAAGAAGAAGTTGATTAAATTCTATATATGTATCTAAAAATATTACTTTGACTAATATTAGAGATGAAAGTAAATCACTGGAGAGTTCTCACTTCTAAATGCTACTATTATTTAAAAATTATATTATTTGGTGATACTGTATCGAAAAATAAACTTGCAATATCTGTATCCGGACAATTAGTTTCGTGACTGCATATAGAGGAAATGGGGATAAGATGACGACCTTAAGATTTGTCGATCTTTCGTAATTTCTGTGATGAGGTAAAAAGAACGATTTATTTTATTTTTTCAAATTCACTACAGTTTTAGTTATCATTTTTTTAAATAAAAAAGTTGTCACATAAATTAAAATGTTTTTTAATTTATATGTTTTCAGAACATGTCAATTTCGTCATCTTGTTCCCATATGTGGGTAAAATGATTACCAATAATGAGTGAGATGATGAAGAGTCAATTTGAATTACAAATAAATTTTTTATGAAGAGAAAAAAAAATTTGTTACGACACGTTCATATATTACAACGAGTTTTAAAGAAAAATATGAATAAATCAAGCCATCAGGTTCCCCGATGGAAGCAGGGTCAGTCACTTTAGCTACACAATATTGCGATTATATTAAAAAAGTAAAAGTATTTACTATAACTTGTCATTTCTTATACGCAAATTTATAAATTTTAATAAAAACTCAATTGAGATGTGTTTTCGTGTAAAAATAAAGATTTCACGAGTCACTATTAGGTTTCCTGACTGAAGCGGAGTCACTTTAGCTACACAATATTGCGATTATATTAAAAAAATAAAAGTATTTACTATAACTGCGTCATTCCTTATATACAAATACTACAGAATTACATGGGAGTGCATAAAAAACACATTTCTATAATATCAATTTGTGTGGTCGGATTGAATTCAAACTATAATAGATTATGTATTATTACCTAAAGTCTTTAACGAGTTAAGCATCTGCTCTCTTGATTAAATATTAACTTAAAAAAATTAACAATTCGTTATCTTACTCACTTGGTCATCTTACCCCCCTTTGCCTTGTAAGTACACAATATACACATACATAAAACGATCGCTTTCTTTTCTCTTTTGAATTTCTTTTCGCGATGATTTCACATATAATAGATACAGTAATATTAATCCAAATCGTTTCGAATAATTTTATTACCGTTACAATCAAAGAAGCTGATTTGAGGTATATCAAGTGTAATGCACCATCCAATTAAACGCACACAGTCCAGAATAGACTCGCCGCATAGTCCGAGATGTCCAAATACGATCACCAGGTGCCTGGGTATCTTGTCCGTGCTGGTAAACGTGCGGAACAACGTGTCGAGCTCCGCCGTCGTGCTCGCGCACCAGAGCTTCGTGCATCTCCGATGCACCGCGTCGCATGCGTTGCGGATCGTATCGTACAACTTATAAAAGAGATGTACGAGCACTAACAGTGTCGAAAGAAATACATACATACTGCTGATGCGCCTCCACTGCCGCGTCTACACCAGAGCATAATCGGACGTCGACTGACGCAAATTATCAAACACTTGGCTATAAAGTCACAACTTGCTAAACCTACAAGAATGTAAGTGAATGTAAGCAACGCAATGTTATCATCGTGACGTAGTCAAAAGTGATGGCCATGTAACTGAGCGAGTCGTGTAAGATGATGTAAGAATACAAGTGGGGACAGTGGGATTGGCCGTTGGGAACGTTGGGGTATGGAAAACTTCGATGGCTTAACCTTAATTTGATATATCGATAGTCTCCTCTTGCTATCGATAGTCATACGATAGTCGCGCAAAATATATAATAATCAACTACCTATATTGATTATTAATTTTTTTTTCGTTTCCCAAAAGTCTTTACGGAATTACTGGTCCTAGCAAATTATTTAAAATCAAATGTACTTGATACTTTCACTGTAGGATTTGTTTTCAGTTAGTTAAGCATATTTTAATTTTTTATTAAAACGCTTCTTTTTTAGTAGGTACCTATAAATGATATATCTAACAATTATAATAAGCTCTATTCTATGCTTTAAAAACATAAAGCAAACATACTATTTTAAAAACAACAATTCACTGCTTTAAAAACGACAATTCGCTGCTTTAAAAATTGTTGTTTTTAAAGCAGTGAATTGCAAATCCGATAGAGAATTTATTCGAGTTTTTATCGGTTTTAGCCTATAATGTAATACCAAAGCATAGAGAATGGATTGCGCGATCCGTCAGATCCGTGTGTGAAAATAGTCGATAGGAATGAGAGAGAGGGCCGACCGTGGCAGACCGTGGCATTTCTATCTCTTTCCTTCCATTCAATGCGGTGTAATGGGAGAGAGAATGAGAGGGAGATTGGCCGTCTCCCATGGTCCCCCTCTCTCTCTCTCTCTCTCTCTCATTCCTATCGACTAATTATTGTCGACCACATTTGATACCCTACAAGACCGTCTTAAGACGCTAATGCAGCTCTTCCGATTGGTTCGTGACTTCTTGAGCCGTTCTTAAGATGGTCTTGAATATAAGTTCTGACTATGAATACCGGCCTTAGATACGGATCGCGCAGTCCATTCTCTATGCCTTAATTGTGTAATACTAAATAATAATTGAAAAATTTTTGATAGTACTATATCACGCGATATTTTATTAAAAAACACTATCGCATAATCGATAGTAACAGTATCACTATCGATAACTTTCCACCTCTAATGGCTACTGCACACTGGACGCGATGAGCGATATCCAATAAAAACTCTGCTTTTTCTCACGTGACGACGCGAAGCAAACCTCTCATTGGATATCGCTCGTCGCTCATCGCTCATCGCGTCCAGTGTGCAGTAACCATAATGTGAAAGCAGCCTAAAGTTGTCTCACCTGTTTTCTTCCACTATGGTGTACGAACTGGCGGATGTCGACTGTGTATTTGGCTTGCGATTTGCGACATTTGCAACACAGTGTAGATCACCTTTAACTTTGACGTCTTACGGGATCTGTTTATTTCTTTCTTAAGAGATAGAATAAGCAGACGATGGCACGGCTTGTTTCAAAATCGACCGAATTGGTAAAACGTATGTACGATATTTTAAATATTCTGTCGTTATACATTTATCATATAATTATTTCAAGCAAGAATTGATCTTGCAACTCGTGCACCACGTATTATATAACATTTCGTATTAAACTTTTGGCAAGTAGTTACACACGTAAACCTATCGCAATAAATTTTTTTCTTGTTGATACTCTTTGTGTGAAATGTCTTATTAAATCGCTGAATCCTGTATGGCAATTAAATTTTATACTATATTGAGGTTATGTTTTTTACAACAAATCAAGATTGAACAAGTACAAAATTTTTTATCATAAGGTTAATCATGTAACATTTTCTCTGATACGTGAAAATTTTTACGTATATGTAAATACATGGTTAAAATAAATTTCCACTTTTTATATTTCTGCTCTAGGGAAAAAGTTACCTCCGGAAGAATAAGCTACATTAATCCACATGAAACAGTTTAAAAAAGAACGTTAAATTAGGGACGTTTTTCGACCGAAATGAAAAAGTTCTGATATGTACAAATTATATGTATCATATTAAACAGCTACTCAAGTGGACTCAAATGGTATATCGTTTATCTTGAAGATACATAAAGATCATGAAAAAATTTGCCTTTGAAATTTCTTGATTTAGATCTAAAAAATGGTTACATAGAATTTTTTTCAGGATGTACGATAACAATAACGTACTAGAGAAGTATTAAAAGTATTTTAAGAAAACAATGATGACGCTTTTCATGTTTTTTCAGGGTTGCATTCCACTTGACTCATAACGCTTGTGACTATCATTTGTCCTTGCTCTTTGATAAACAACAAGGATGGAATGATTCCACTAGCGTAAAAAGCGTCTATAATACGTCTGTGTATTCTATTCCTATTACACCTTTAGTATGCATATAGAGATTATAACAAAATAGTGGCATACAAATTATGGCGTCAAATTATACGTCTTGCAATATTTTTCTTCTCAAAAAGAAGCGTCCGCGAGTTTAAATAATACAATCCTTATTACTCAATTATTATCTTACCTTTTCTATAAATGTGGTAGCATAAATGATAGATTTATTTGTTTTGATCACGATTTCTCTCATGTTCCTGACGTTTCCCCAAGATAAGCGGTATACCATTTGACTCCACTTGAGTAGCCGTTTAATATGATGTATAATTTGTATATCTCGGAACTTTTTCATTATAGCCGAAAAACGGCCCTAACTTAAAACCCTCCCTTTTTTGGCTGTGTTCCGTATTTACTTTACATGCATCATAGATTTTCAATATTGGCAGTCAATTTTGGAACACAGTCTTTGAGAATGAATTTTGAAAAATACAAATGTAAGAACACGAATATATTTTTCAAATTTACTGAAAACTTACCTAATCATATTTCATATTACAAAAATTAAAGAAATTAACTTAGCATTTCTGTAATTATATATAGTATACGTATGTGTAGCAAAAGATAATAACATTTTAAGTAAATTAAAATTTCTTGTTAATTTATATTATTTATAATGATGATGACAAGAAAAGCTAATGCACTTAAAATTTTATTATCTTTTGCTACAAAAAATGTAAACTTTAACTTTCACTATAGCTTGATTATTCGTATCACATACATATGTGTGTGCGCGCGCGTGTATGTATATGTATGTACACATGAGATTTGTATTTAAAGAATTAAATAAAACTAAATAATATATATATACGAATTGCAGTTGGTGTTAATCACGCAAAGCCTGTACTACAAGTGTGGTTGCAGTATGCCAAAGTAGAACTGACGCCACCCACTCTAAAAGACGTCTCTGCAATTCGTAGTGGATTTTCACAGTTGATCCATTCTGCACGGACTGGGCGTTATCGTGATGTTACCGTGCGTGAAGGTATCATAAATACCTTAGTAGCTGTTGAAATATATTGCTGGTTCTTTGTTGGAGAATGTATCGGAAAGCGACATATTGTTGGATATGATGTATAAGTACATGTGTATAGTCTTATACAGAATCCTGTATAAATTAGACTTACTCGTAAATATATAAAAATATAAATTAAACATTTCTTTCAACAAATATTACAATGTAATACATCTTTTGTTTTGTCGAAAATACATTTATTTAATAACGTTATCTTATATCTTATAAATGTAGAAATATTATTTTAATACATGTTGGTTCGCATATTGCCATATGCAAATTGCAGCAGTAACATGGACATTTAACGATCGTGTTACACCAACTTGAGGTATTTCTACACATTTGTCAAAAAGTGGTATGAAATTAGCAGGTATACCATCCTTCTCATTTCTACAAAATAGTTTTTAATTATATTCTCGAAACTTTAAAGTTTTCATGAGTCGAAATTTAATTACCCTAAAACGAGAATAGTCCTTTTCTCGAATGTTGTTGTCATCAGATTTGTACTATTGACTGTTTGTTCTACCCCAATTAAAGACCATCCTATATTCTTCCTGTCTAACAAGAATTTCTGCAATTCATATGGCTTTACCTAAGGATTTCAAAATATTGTAGCGTTTTTCGAGAATAAACTTGACATAAAGAATTTTTAAAGAAGTAAATATTCCAAAATTTAAATATTTTCAAACCGTCTTTTAAGGCTTATGTTCACTCACTATTACTATCTCAGAGTGTGATGTCAGGCGATCATGTATCTTGAAATAGGTGAAATTACGTAAAAATGAAAATAAGAACAATCTCCAATAGCTTGGATCTTGACAAATGTTATCCGAACAATATTCACATTTGTAACAAAGTCATGATCCTGAATAACATTCAAGATTTTTTAGCCGTTGGTCGGACACCTCGGATAATGCTAATACCGGTATTAAGCCTAATAACTCTCAATAAAACTGGTTTAAAAAAAATTATATATAAAGTATTTTTGGAAAGCTCATTAAGTCAATTATTAGATTCTGGAATAAAAAATAAAATGTTTCATTAAAAAAAACAGACTCGATGTGACCTTTTTTTCTATCCAAATTGTTTTTATTTACAAATGGCGCGTAAAAATTAACGTGTCATTTCTCGCTCTTGACGTCACGATTAAATATGACTGTGGTGACTACTCAGGAACTTTAAGATCGGATTGCAAGTATTTGGGATACTGTCAATAATTAGACTGTTTACTCTATTCAAATATTAATTCAAAGAATTTGTTTCTTGCTTCTGAGACATAATATGAGATAATACTGGTAAATAAACAAGAGCCTTAATATATTTTCAAAAGCTAAAGACTGTGTATTAATTAAAAAAAAAAATGAAAATTGTTTATATGCCAAACTGCAGAAAGTTATTGTTTACAATTTTTTAAAATATATAATAGATTTGAGAATTAAGCTATTAAAGTACCTGCAGGATATTTAACCATTTATCAGCAGAAACACTGAGATACTGAAACTCCTTGTCCTTTACACAATCTGCATTCGCAACGACTAGTGCTTTAACTCCAAATATCTCGCATGTCCTAGCGATGCCTCCTAAATTCGGTGGTCGATTGACAAAAGAAGCTACAACTATCAGACCTTCCTGCGACTGTGTATCTTGCAGAAACATGAATTCATTTATTACTTCGAAAATATCACCACATAAACCTATAGGCTTTGATGGATCGATCTTTTTCTGAATATCATTCAAACCTTCCATATAAA